AAGACAAAACCAACCACACGGAGCCCGATAAATATAAATTTAATTAGAGTTTAATTTAAAAAAATAAAAAATAAAAAAAAAAAATCTCCCGATTAAAGACTAACTAACCTGAGGGACTCGGGACGTTACAGTTATTGGTCATGAATGCCTTCACTCCATTAGAGGCATCAAGATTGGCTTGAATGGCATGGGAGCATTAAAGCTTGATCTTAGCAAAGCTTTTGATAGGGTTGAATGGTCTTATCTTAGTTGTTTGATGAAGAGGTTGGGGTTTCATGAACATTGGATTTCTCAAATTATGTGCTATCTATCTATGGTCAATTTTTCCATTCATCTTAATGGTCTCCCAACGGGCTCTTTCACTCCATCAAGAGGAATTAGGCAAGGAGATCCACTTTCCCCCTATTTTTTTATTTTATGTAGGACTTTCGGTGCTGATTGAAAATGCAAACAGATTCGGAACTCTCACTGGTTTAAAATTTGATTCTCATGGACCTTGTATCTCTCATCTTCTTTTTGCAGATGATAGTCTTATATTCCTCAAAGCATCGGAAATGGAATGTCTTACGCTTAAGAAGCTGTTGGAAGCTTATGGTGGAGCGTCAGGACAATGTATAAACTTTTTGAAGTCTGCATTTATCTTCTCTCCAAATGTGCACCCCGAGAGACAGGCTTATCTCCAAACTATTCTCAATGTTAATCTTGTTACTGATTTTGGAAATTATCTTGGGTTACCCTCAACTTTCACTAGAAGGAAAGGTTTAGATTGGAGCTATCTGAAAGACAACATTTGGAAAGCAGTTCAAGGCTGGAAGCGATCTTATTTCTCCATGGAAGGAAAAGAAGTCCTCATTAAAAGTATTGGTCAAGCAATTCCATCCTACACTATGAGTGTCTTTAGGCTCCCAAAAGGTTTCTGTGATGATATTTCCCGTATGTTTGAGCGTTTTTGGTGGGGCTCAACAAACGACACTCGGAAACTTCATTGGATGAAGTGGGAAAGACTGTGCTATCCTAAAGAATTAGGAGGGTTAAACTTCAGAGAGTTGGAAGGCATTAATAAAGCTCTGGTGGCCAAACAAGTATGAAGGGTTCTTCAAAATCCGAATCTCCTTATCTCCAAAGTTTTGAAAACTAAATATTTTCAGGAATCTTCTGTGATCCTTTCTAAGACTTCCAAGAATTCCTTCTACTTTTGGAAAGGTTTCTTGTTGGGTAAAGAGCTTCTTGTTAAGGGGCTTCGTCTTCGTATTGGTAACGGCTCTACAATAAGAGTTTTTTTGGATCCTTAGATTCCTAGGCCTCTAAATTTCCTCCCGATTTTAGGTGGTAATGGTAATCTAAATCTTAAGGTTGCTGATTTAATAAATCAAGCAGGGATGTAGGATGAAAATATAATCTCAAATATTTTCTGTGAAGAAGACAAAGGCCTTATTCTAGCATTGCCTATTAGTCCTTGTAATCTTCACGATTCATGGCTTTGGCATTATGGCAAATGGGGGTATTATAGTGTTAAGAGCGGCTATAAACTATATATGCCCCTAAAATGTAATGAAGCTTCTACAAGCAATTCTTATCATGGAAATCAGTGGCAATCAATCTAGAAACTCGCTGTTCCCTAAAAAATTAAAGTATTTCTATGGAAGGCAGCTAATAATCATCTTCCAATAGCACAGATTCTCCATTCCAGAAGTTTAGATGTGTTACCTTTATGTTCCCCTGGAAATCCAAACCAGAAAGTATTTTCCATGCGATTTTTTAGTGCAAGCGAGCTCGGAAGATTTGGCATACTCTTTTTCCACTCTCTACCTAAGTACCCTGCACATTCAAATCCAAGCTTCTTTGATTTTTGGGATGATCTGATCAATAAAATTAACCCAGATAAGAAGGAGTTAGCGGCGATTACCTGTTGGCCAATTTGGTGTGATCGAAATTCAACGGTTCATGGGAAGCAAATTTCTGTACCTGAATCAAAATGTGAGTGGATTCGATCTTATATTAAAAGCTTTTCACAGGCTAAAAATGCCATTTCCCCGCCCGTGCCAGAGACTAGAAGAACTCACCATAGCCAGATTTGGAATCCTCCGTGTGACGGCCATTTGAAGCTCAATACAGATGCTGCATGTAGACCTTCTTCATCAGGTCTGGGATTTCTCTTGCACAAGTCCGATGGCACTTTGGTAGCGGCCAAATCGGTTTTCCTTCCTCAATCCCTTCCACCACTTATTGCTGAAATTAAAGGAATTCTATAAGGACTGCGGTTTGCTCGATCTTTGAATTGCAAATGCCTTGAACTTGAATCTGATTCCCTCCTGACAATTCGGCTTCTTATGGATGAAATCTCTACATTAGGTGATGAACTGAACCTCTTGACGGAAGTACGCTCGCCCGCCCTGTCCTTCGAATCGCTTTCTTTCGCCCATGTCGCTCGAATTTGTAACAAAGCTGCCCATTTTTTTAGTAAAAATGGGGGTTTCAGCAACGTCTTTTTGGTCTTCCAATTACCCTCAAGGGCTTTTGGGATGTGTAATGGGAGATTTCCCTTCAATTATTGCCCAAGAGCCTAATTTAATTAAATTATTACTTTCAAAAAAAAAAAGGAAAGTTAAATACAAATTTTAAACACATAAAATATATGTTTGCAAAACATTATATTAATTATTTCGTTGACGTTTCATTGTATCTTGTACTGTTGATAGCTAACATGGATTCAATGGATGTATACTCCTAACTTAATATGACTTTATAGGCTAAAAATAATTCCCCTTTAATTTAATTTGATTTACGAATATTTATAAGCTAAATAGAGTTACCCTTTTTATTTTGTGTTGTGTAGATCACACCACTACAAAGACAACAACTAGACATATATTGGCCAAACGTGAAGACTTTGAATAACCAATGGTTTTGGGAGCATGAATGGCTCACTCATGGCAGGTGCTTAAAATTACTGTTTGTTGCGTTTTTTTATTCGATGATATACCACATTAGATCCATGCACAACATATCTTGAATGCCAAGGATACTGCTCCCTCTCCCTCTCTCTCGACAAGCTCTTTTGCTCAATGGAAAGTGGCTAAGTATTGGATCTAAGGTTTAAATACCCATATCTTTCTTTCAATATGGATCTCTCTTAAAGTAATATTGAACAAAAATAGCACAACAACATAATTTCTAACGTAGAAAACCATAAATACACTGCTTTTTTTTTATGCATCTGAGAATCACGCCTTAGTAACAGCTTAATTGATGCAATACACCAGTCAATCACGACTACAAAGGTTGACAATCACTACAATTCCTATGTAAGTATATTCTTTGTTCATCTTTTATCTTTCCTTTAAAAGAAGGCCCCTATAGGTTGCGAATGCGTCCATTTTACTCTCATTTGATCACTTTACTGTTAGGTCATTTTCCATACTGGGCTTTATGAAATCCTCCAAAAAGTTTAGATTTTTTTCAAATTCTTTTTTTATTATTATTTTTTAATACAACATGTGGGGGTGGGGTTCAAACTCATGACGTGGTGCCTTAACCACTTGACTTCAAATTTTATTTTATTAGTACGTTGCTTCCAGCCCACCATAAAATTCAATCAATTATTTATCTCAATATGATGAAGTTTGTATTATTTTTAGGGATCTCCATTTTTCTCATGGTATTAAGCTTTTGCACAAACAGATGGAAAAATCAATAAGTCATAAGTCTTCTATTTGATTTAAACAATAAAAAATGTGAGTTTCATATAAATAAGATCTATTCTGAAGTTATGAAGCCCCCCTCCTATTACTTCTTTCAAGGCTTTAAATAATCTACCTGCTTCGTAGATAATTTGTCTAAATATATTTTGCATTATCCCGTAAAAGAAGAAATTTGATTTTTTTTCACTCATTTATTAAATCTAAAGCCTTAATAGAAATTTAATTTCGAATGAAAACCAGTTTTCGGTGGAGGAGAATTTCAAGCTTTTTGTCTTAAAAATAACATAGAGAAAAATAGGATTCACCATCAGGTTTATTGCCCTCGCATATGTCAACAATATTGGATAAGTTGAGAGGAAAACATAAACATATAGTAGAGACAACAACTTAGGTGGTAAGCAATATAGAAATTGTAAGTGCAACTTCTATTTTACTCAATTGAAAATTGTTATAAATATTTACTTCTTAGGAAAAGCAAAAACTGACCGTTAACCCACTAATTAGATCATTACCCTTCAAATTCTCTCTAACCAATACCATAAAAACATTAAGCTACTATACAAGTCAACAAACTTTCCAACTTATATCCACTCATCCAATACTTAATTAACTACAGCGATGAAATTAACAACCAAGCATAACTCCTAAAATGTGAAAACACTTAAATGAAACTAACACAGGTTTGTACTCATTCTTAATCCAACCTTTGCATCAACCCCTATTAATTTGTCAAATCTTTTTTTAATATAATAGTTGGTCGACCCATAAATATATCATTCCATTTAAAGGATATTTTAGAAAGTTGTTAAATGAATTTAATTCTTGCCATGAGAGAGAAGAAAAAAGATCTCTGCCACACCAGCCAACTTGCCAGGTCAACGGCCCGTTCATCATACATGTCAGCAAGCGGTAGAGAGAAAGAAGCAGGATATTATGCCCACAAAGCATCAGAATCTTATGCCAATTTCTGCTCCCTAATTCACAGTTTTATTTCTCACAAATGGAAGGTTGACCTTGTTATTTTTGGATAGCATTTACAGCCTTTATTTCCTCCTATTATTTCCTTGTAAGTAGCTCACCTTAAGAAAGTAGTCGTTCATATTATTTGGGCAATCTTTGCCCAGTTCTATTGTCTGTCTTTTCCTTAACTAATGTTGTCTCAATATTCCTTGCTAATTTTTCCTTTAGTAGCAGACGTTCGTTTCCCCTATATAAGTTTGTCACTTTTGTACTCTTTGACAAATCATTGCAGGTGGGTTTGTTCATAGTATCAGAGCTCTTGTTGTACTAAGAAAATAACCACCTCAACAAACATGAAATCTCTTCTCCTGGAAAATTGAGAGAAAACCATTACAATTCAATCATTCAAGGAATCCACCAGCTTCATTTCAATTAAGCTAAATACCACAAATTATCTGCATTGGAAATCCCAAGTATCGCCCTTAATGAAGAGCATGGGGATCGAACATCATCTCACGCCAGCGACGAAGGACAAGAAAAGGAGATATGTGACAAAGACGGGGATCAAAAGTCAACCTTGCCCATGCTATTTGGACAACAAATGATGGGCTGCTAACCTCTTGGCAGTTGGGATCGTATCAGAAGATGTTTTGAACATGATTGAAGGAACTGAGACATCTTACCAGATTTGGAAATCCTTAGAAGAGCAACTACTTACAATGACTAAAAAATGCGAGATCCATGTAAGTGAAGCCCTTGTCACATTGAACAAAGGATCCCTAACTCTTGACAAGTGTTTGAAAAAATTGGAACGCCTATGTGACAAAGTAGGATCCCTAACTCTTGATAAGTATTTGAAAAAATTGGAATGTCTGACAAGTTAGCTACTATTAAGAAACCTAGAAACCTTTATATGATCTCACTAATGTTTTTCATCTCGCTAGAGGTGTAGGTAGCAAATATTAAGATTTGAAGATAGAAATGTTGTCAAAAGCCCTCGTACCTTACGTTTAACCAATTTGTTTGGCTGTTAAAATACATGACCAAATGCTACCTATTAAAATTGAAGAAGGCAAGTTGTTTCTTATCGATCATAATCAAGTTTACAAAAGCCAGAGAAGCAGGAATAGATGGTGTGGTAGACATTGATATAGAGAGATGAGAAAATATGGAAGCAAAATTTCATTCTCCATATAAATACACACCATAAGTCACATAAGTCTAAAGATAGACCCAACTAATATATTTTCCACTCCAAAGAAAAGTAACTTAATTTGTCTTGGTTACAAATAATATCTCTAACTTCTATAGGAACTACGACTTAGACTAGACCAAATCAAAATTAACATTCAAACTTGTACCTCTAATTTGGGTTCACTGACAATTATAAATATTAAAATATTTATACACAATCAAATCATTAAAATAACTAAATATCAAAATAACAACCTGACATTTGAAAAGTATTAAATGTTATATGGTTTAATATTGCGTTAATATATTATATATCTCTATCTAATTATAAAACTAAATAATCATACTCATATTAAAAATTCACTGGCCTAATAATCAAAATAGAGAATAGGGTTGCGATTTTCAATACACCATTTAATTATTTGAAATTTCTTTGAGTATCACAAATAAAGATATATATTTTGATTGAAAATTTTGAAGGGTTACACGTGTTCAATTGCAAATGACGAGTAGAGATTTTCAACTACTGCTTTCTTAGACATTAAAGATAAATTTTAAACTTGAAAATATGTAACGCCCCACGTTACTCAGGTTAGCTTGCCCCGAGTTCCGCGGAATTTTATAACAAAATGGATTTTAGTTATTGATTTATTTATTTATTTCATTTTTATTTTATTTGATTCATCAGTGATCTTTATTTAATTTTAGTGTGGCATCTCGGCTAGTGTGTGTTGTTACAAATTTAGTGGTGAGTTAGTAGCGTGTAGTATTTATTAAGTTATGTTTTTACGGATTCCGCTATGTGACACTTGCTCTGGACCATTGGATCAACTATGAAATTATATTATTGGTTTTGTTAACAAGGTGTGATTGGGTAAATGGGCCTTAAACAAAAGAAACTAGCCCAAGTGGGTCTATGTTGCAAAACAAAAAGAAAAGAGGAATTTAAACAAAACAACCCTAGCCCATCTTGTTCTCCTTCCTCATCTTCTTCCACCCTCCCCTTTCGTTTGGAGCCGCCAGCCCCCCATCCGAAATTCTTTCTCCGACGAAGCAGTACCGACGACGGGA